AAAGTTTTTTTTTGACAATTGCACTATATTGCATGCAGAAACATTCATGTGCACAGCTCTCAACTTCAGCCAAATTTCCTTTGCAGTCTTTAGATTTGCAACATTTAGAAATTGTTCATCATCTAAATTCAAGATGAGATAAGCCATTGCTTGATCATGACTGTTCTGATCAGCAGCTGCAAACACTTGTGGGGGATTTTCTACAATATACCACAGCTCTTTTGCTTTCAGCAAACATTCCATTTTTGCTGCCCAGATAATGTAATTCTTTTGCCCTAAACGAGGCACAGAGCTTTCCTTAAATTCCATTGCAGCCATTCTGCTAATTCTGCCTTGTTCTTATACTTTCAACACAGACAATTTCTTCCAGCTTTATATTACAATGCAGTCCTTAGTAAGCTCTGGGCCCATAACCTGTTAGAGAATTTTAATTTCTCTGTTGGTAAAAATAAATCAGAAGCTCTCACAGTTGACTGCATTTAGCTGATTCAAATAAACTCTTTATATTCATATAAAAATATTTACAATACCATATATTTTTCTTCATAGTAACATAGCATAAATGAAGACTTCTTACAGCAGAGACAGACCTGAAACCTGAAACTGAAACCCAGCTTCTAACTCAATAACCTTTTGCACAGACTCAGTAGCACTTTACTCACATTGGCTGACTGAGTTACCACATGACTCTTCCTGCTCATGAATATTCCAACAGAACTACATCAGCTCTTTTCCAGTCCTCTGGTACTTCCCCAGTGCTTCAGGATCTTTGAAAAATATAGTTCAGTGGTTCTGAGATCACATCTTGTGTTTCTATTCTGTTTTTTATTGCAGTATTTTTGATAGGTTGGTCTGTTTTTTCCCTTTGTGTAAAGACAGAAGCAAAAAATGAGTTAAATAGTTGTGCTTTCTCCCTGTTGCTTGTCACCTTCTTGCCACTTTCACCCACTAATGGACCAATCATTTCTTTCACTTTTTTCTTGTTTTTTACATGTTGAAAGAAGCTTTTTTTGTGTGTTATTTTTTATTTTGGTCGCAAGCCTTAATTCATTTTGAGCCTTCGCTTTCCTCACTTCATCTTTGCAGGCTCGGGCTACTTGCTAATATGCTGACTTAGTTATGTGCCCCTCTTTCCACTTTCTATACTTGTCCTTTTTATCCTTCAATTTATCAGAGAGTTCTTTATGTAGCCATGCTGGTTTCTTTTGAGAGCTGTTATTTTCCCTCTTTGTTGGTATTGTGCTAGACTGGGCTTTTATTATCTCACTTTTCAAAATTTCCCAAGCTTCTTGAGTTGTTTTCCCCTTAAGGATTCTCATCCATGGAATCGTTCCCAGGCTGTCTCTAAGTTTATTGAAATTAGCTCTCTTAAAATCCAAGACTCTATTAGCTTAGGAGGAATATATATTTTAAGTAATATGTTATTTTTTATGTTTCTTTACTCTTGCTCTCCTTTCTTTTTTTCCACTGTTTTATTTATCCCTTAAGAAATGTAAAAGTGTGAAATGGTTCATATGGAAAAAAATAGACTTAAATTTTTAAATGTAATTAATTTTTGAGAAAATCTTAACCAGTAAGAATACCTAGAATTTGGTGGGAGAAGCAAATTAAAATAAGGACTGTAACAGGATCTATGATAAGGTAACCAGAATGATTGGATAGAAAAGAAATATTATATTGATGTGATTATTATTTTTAGGAATATTGGGGAAATATATATATTTACCGTAATTGTTATCTATCAAAACATTAAGAATTGTATTAACTCAAAGTTTACAAAAGAGGATATTTTGGGAAAAGAGGAAATCAACTAAAACCATTATGTGGATTATGGATTATAGAAATCAATTGTTAGTGATTGTTTTACAAATGTAAACCCAAACAATACCCTGTTCACCAATTATTAAGTGATTTATGTTTTTTAAAAATCAATAAAATATATTACAAAAAAATAGTGGAAAAGAATATGGGAAGAGTTTTGGGGGTCTTTTGAGAGAATTGGCTGGAGTCATGAGGGAGGGGTGAAGCTGGAAAAGACAGAAACTAAGTTGTTTGGCAGTGGCTAGAATTGTTAGGGGTCTGGGGTTTTTTATCCTTTGTGGATAAATTGTGTTCTCTGAGTGAAATGTTATCTTCTTTTGGCACCTTTAGTAAAGTTTAGTAAACCAGACCAGGATAGATTTTATTTTCAATTCTCTTCAGACAAATTGACCTAAATACTGATATGCCAAACCTGTCAGGAAGTTACAGGCTATAAATATGTCTACTACAGGAAATTCCTCAGCAGAAATTAGAAAGTCTGTTCAGCACTTCAGCCCAGAGAAGCTGGAACTGGAGGCTATGAGAGAGGAAGCCATGAAGAAGATGGAACTTGATCTGGAGTTGAAATGAAGAGAGATTGCTGAGAAAGAGCACCTCAGGGGAAGGAAAAGGAGCACCAACATCAGCGAGAGATGTTGAAGCTGCAACAACATGTCATCTTCATTTACTCTCTTCTCCCCAATAGAACCCATAACTTGGGGGGATGGAAATACCAATTCACAAAGAACCATGAAAGAGATGAGATTGAGACCTCACTAATTAATTTTGAAGATATCTGCCAAGCTTACGCCACTCTAAAGCCCAGGAAATGACTCATATGTCTCTTCTCTTGAAGGGTTGTTTAACCCAAATATTAGCTGATCTGTGTGCTAAGGAAAAGGAGGACTACCAACAATGTAAAACACATGAACATCAATTATTAATTCATTTATTTTAGTGCTTGAGGATTATCTTAAATTTTCACTTGACTAATAAACTTCATATTTTTATTTCCTTCAATTCAATTCAATTCAATTTTTCAATTCTAATAAACCTAAGTTGTCAAACAAATGCAAAGGAAGCATACAGATCCAACAATAATGAATAATTAAATGTTATGAGCCTAAGAAACAATTTCACAGTCATTCTCCTGCTTTTGTCATTAGATGTTCCTTAGTGTTTAGATCTGGCCTCAGAATGATAATGTAGCACTTGGGGAAGAAGATGCAGCCCAACAGTCCAGCACCGGAAGCTAAGATGGAGAACACCTGCACAGCAACCATGGATTTTCCTTTAGTGCTCAGGTAGGTGGGGAGGAAGGAAACCCAGACACTGCAGAAGACCAGCATGCTGAAGGTGATCAGCTTGGCTTCATTGAAGGCCCCAGGGAGATTCCTGGCCAGGAAAGCCACAGTGAAGCAAATGGCAGCCAAGAAACCCATGTAGCCAAGGACAACATAAAACATGGTGACAGAGCCTTCATTGCATTGAAGAATGATCTTTCCTGGCTGGGAGTGGAGGTCAGAGTCAGGAAATGGGGGAGAAACTCCCAACCACATGGTACAGATGAGAATTTGAACAGCAGAACAAGAAAGGATGATGGAATTAGCCAAGCTCTTCCCCAACCATCTTCTCACTTTATTCCCCGGTTTTGAGGCTAGGAATGCCAGCACTACTGTGATTGTTTTGGCCAACACAGAAGACACAGCTACTGAGAAGACAATGCTAAACACTGTTTGTCGGAGAAGACAGGTGGCTTTCCTTGGATGTCCAATGAAGAAAAAGGAGGACAAAAAACAAAGCAGGAGGGAGACTAGGAGGATGAAGGAGAGGTCCCGGTTGTTGGCTTTGACAATGGGAGTTTTTAGGTATTTAATGAATATGATTAAAACAAGGTTTGTGGTTAGGAACAAAAGTAGAGCAAAGGAAATGAGGATGATGCTGAGATGTTCTTCATAGGATAGGAAGGTAATTCTTTTGGGGATACATTCAACTCGATTCTTGGTTGGATAGTGATCATCTGGGCACTTGGTGCATTTGTCAGTATCTGAAAAAACAAAGTAATATTTCTTTTATAGTCTTTCAAACTTCAAGAAAATCTTTGGATATGATACTGAGAGACTGGAAAGCCTCAGTAAATGGAATACACTTACAGTATGATTCAGTTTTTCTGAAGCTAGCTTGTTTTTGATATACTGTTTGTAAAACTAAGCAGACCTTGGTTGCCCATTGATTGCATCATTGATTGTGATGTATTGCTATGTCCACTTGTGATGGTTCTGTTTAATTTTGTTTTATTTGGATGTTTGATTTATGTGTGGCCTTTGGCTGTAATAAACTGATTGGACTTGGCTTTTATAATTACACTTTTCAAAGTTTCCCAAGCTTCTTGGGTTGTTTCCCCCTTGAGGATTCTCATCCTTGGAATCCTTCCCAAGCTCTCTCTAAGCTTATTGAAATTAAGAATAATAGAATCAAATGTACATGTGTCTTTGAGATGCATATTGATCAATTCAGTAGGTTTCCCTATGGTGTCACCCACCTTCTTGAGTAGAGATGGTCCCCTCTGGACAAGATACACAATCGTAGCAGCAAACTGGTTCTCCTTCTCGAGCCTTCTGCCATGCTGGTGAACTGAAACTAAAACTGACTGACTAGTTTCTAAAACTATAGTGAGGTGAGATGGAGGTGAGGTCCTAAGACCGTATCCCTCAAGAAGGGTGAGTCAGGCATCTTTTGATGCACCACAGGGGTCATGTGTGTGAGCCCTGTATGGGAAAGGGATATCTGACACAAGGTCCTTTCTGTTGAAATAATACAATTAGGTGACACAAGTTGTCAGGGAAATACACACTCCAGTTTGATTTGGCACCTTTCAATGTGTCCTAAGGTAACTAACAATCAAAATAAACAGTTTCATTCAAGGGATTTTCAAATGAAGTGCACTCTTACAAGCCAATGCTGAAATCTAAGTAATATTTCCCTCGAAATTGTCCCTTAATATTTTTGATATCAGGAAAAAAAAATTGCAACAAAATCATGCTTCAGTACTTTGGTTTTCAAGCTATTATCATGGTGAGTTGGGCAGCAAATAAATTTAATCAATCAATGAATAAATAAGCTCACATCAGACTAGTCATTATGATTTCATATGAACTGAAAGTCTTGGACCTCCTTCCTAAACTCCACTATCTCAGTGGGGTTAAAGAGAGGGAGGTATAACTCTGACCCAGTCTTGGCTGATTAAAAACATCACAGACTATGAACCTGCAATTTTGGGAGGCCCCTGACTCCAGTCAGGGCAAGATGAAGCTTATTTCCTGAGCTTATTTCAATCTAAACCTGAAGTCAGGGACTGGTCAACAGAATTGCCTTCATGATTGATAACTGAAGACAAGGAGCAAATGTAACTGAATGTATTAACATCCCAATCTCCAGCATATGAGGCCTTCTCTCACCAGGTTTATGGAGATACTAAACCACAGAAGAGACACTAAATGGCAATGATTTGCATCCTAAATAATAATCACCCAAAATCTCATTTTGGATATAGCTGAATCAGCTTACAACAGTATTCAGCTTTATGGAATCTGAAGAATACCTTGGTCAATAGAACTGAAGCCTCCCTATCTGTTATGTCCTGGGCCTGCTGAATGATTCAGCAGGGTCAGGAGGCTGTAGAAGGCCCGGGCAGACCATGTGGTTGCCTGGAACCAGACAGGCTGTCTCCAGTCTTGTGAGCATGTGCAAAGTGGGAGACTAGCCTTGCATTGATAGGCTGATGCTGTCCCTGCAAAAGGGAGTATAAAAGGGCCAGTGCCATTTTGTTTGCTGTTCTGTTCTGTTTGTGATCTCAATAAAGAAGTTGTGTTTTGTTCCTCCTGCCTTGCTTCGATGTCTCTGATTCTAAAACAGAACACTATCTGTGTAACAAAATTATAAAGTTTTACTCTATACATTCAAGTTTCCCAATATTTTTTTTAATTGAGTTTAGTACATTTAAAATGGATCTAAAGGCTTTGGAAAAATGAAAAAAAAAGACATCAATATTTTCCCCACCTTGTTCAGCAACTTTAGCTGTGACAAAGCAGTTTGGTTGATTGTAAGTCTCTGTCTTTCAAAACTCCCCAAATACTTTTCGAGAGGATCCTCCCTGGGCAGAACCACCCTACTAAAGATCCACAGATCTGCTGCTACGACTCCATTTTGATCCAAGTACACTTTCATCAGGGAAAGATTGTACACTTCCTTCCTCTTTAGAAATGGATGGAACTAGAATGGAAATATCCAGGAATTTTACAAGCAGAAAGCTTGTAAATATTTTTTTAATCTCTTATTGTCAAGCTTCGAAAGACCCTTTGCTGTTTCCTCTATCTTTGCTTCCTACCTTGCCTACGGATTTGGGGGGAGGGGAGGGGTGAATGGTATTGTGGGAAGTCAGCCCCTCCACAGAAGGAAATATTAAAAGGGCAGAATATTATATTTCCTCAAAGGATCTTAAAGAGGCATAAAAACATGCCCAGTTTTTCTTAATAGCCCCAAGTCTCCCTCCCCCAAGCAGAAACCAGCTCTGTAGAAATGCAGATGTAATAATCCATTCAGGAAGGTTGTAGCCCTCCAGCTAGAAGCTTAGGAAGACAAAGACCCTTAAAATCTACATATCCCACCCTAACTCTAAGACAGGACATAATAGGATTAACCCACAGATGCCAAAGGGACACACTCAGACTCAGGTCAAAATACATGACACAGGAAATACAAATCCTCAAACAGGAACAGGAAACAACCTCAAGGATCCCAGAGGGTATAAAAACCCACTCCCTACATGTGCTCTGGCTCTTTTCTTCCAGAGCCATTTTTCTGTCTGGCTCTCCTCTTCAATAAACTGCAACCTTCTTCTTAAAGCAGTCACCATGTTGTTTATTCCTGGCTTGGATTGGACCTTGATGAAGACTTTTCCTTCAACAATTTGGCACCCAAGATGGGACTCCAAACTAACCTCTCCAATGGACTGAGACTGGTAAGTCCCATCTTGTCAGCAACAGACCCTTTGTGTCTTTGGATGGGTTTCCCAGGCCCTGCCCATGTGGAGCCAGGATAGTAAAGGGAGTTTTGAGTTTGAGCTCAAGCGCTGCTTTGGAAAGAAGGTGAAGGTGAGTTTTAAATTTTAACTTTAAAGCCCAGGGGAATGAGAGAAATATGTGTATGTCTGTGTGTGTGTGAGTGAAAAGATCTTTTCCCAATCACAGCTGGATCTTGCTCCCTTGGCCTTTCCTAACCACAGAAAGGATCTGCTTAAGTGGCAGACCCTGGAAAGCATGGGGGTTTGGCCAGAGCACAGGACCTTTTGTTAGGGAAAATGGAGAGGCTGTGTGAAATGGAATGAAAAAGTGAGTGAAAGAATCAGATTTGGGCAACCAGCTGGTAAAGCCCAGTAAGCAAAGGCTGGATTAGGAAGTGCCTGTACCTGTGGTGGAAGTAGCAGGTCCTCCCAGACATCTCTGAGTCTGAAAAGTGACTGGCGGTTGAAGGAAGTGCCCATACATGCTGTGTTGGGGGGTGGCACGTCTTCCCAGACCTCTCTTTGGTCTGCAAAGTGACAGGTGGTGTGTTCCCTGGTTAGGAGGTTCCCATACTCTGTGAGGGAACTAAAGTCCTCCTGAACATCTTTTTTTAATCCAAAAACTGACAGGTGGAGCGGCAGAGTTTGGCCGCAAAGGGAGACCTGGCTAAGCTAATTGAACCCCACATCAGAAGGGGAACATGGGAAGCTGTAGCTCAAAGGTCATGACAGGAACCCCCTAGGAGAGCTGCTTGTGGCATAGGATGAGAGGCAAGTGCCCATCTAGCCAGTATAATGAAAAAATGATAAAGAGAAATTTGTGAAGAATGAGCTTTGCTCAGGGCTTTGCTGAGAAACCAATTCAGCTAAATAAAGGAAAGTCTTCATCAGTATGCAGACTTCAGATAGCGAGCCGTCAACTACAATCTATATTAAGATTTCATTTGTAGTTTTTCTCACATTGTTCTATAGTAGAATGGTTACTAATTATAATAAAGTAGTAGTAATATTTTAATGGTATCATAACATAGCAATAACTTGATGATAATGTCATTAATGACCCAGTGGAATCATACCAGGTCCCCTTGTAGGAAACATACTTGGAGAAGACATTGCACAAAATATTCATCATCTTTAGTCAAGGACAAAGAAGCAGAGGAAGAGATCAAAGGAGCTGCTTTTAGCCTTGAGGAAAGACAACAAGCAGAAGAGCCATGTTGGTTTACAGGGGCTTAAAATCAGAAAAAGTCTGGGAAATTTTTTTCAAATACATAAAACATCTTGATTATAGAAAGGAGGATGCAGTGCTGGTCCAATAAGTACAAGAAGTTGTACAGAAGCTTAAGATCTTAAACAACCAAGCTCAGAGAGCACCAAAGACCCTGAAAAGGAAATTAGGTTGATGGATCCTTGTTGGGACCCCATACCTTCCATGGCTGCAGCATTGAAGCCTCCAACCTCTTTTCTCTCTTCTTCCTTCTCCTCTTGGATTTGGATGCAGCATTTAAGCTGTGGGCCAGAATCTTAATAACGCTGTAAGTAATGCTTCCATTTGGAATCCGCATCCTATTCTTTTTCTCTTGGGTCTCCAGTGGCCTTTTCTGGATGCATCTTCTCCGGCCTTTGACAGAGAAGGTGTCTTTTGAAACAAAACAATGAAAATACTCAGCTTGAAACTCATGTTCCACAAAGAAATGTGTTTTATAGGCATCATCTTTTCTCCAACTCTTTTTCCACTGAAGAGGAAAGCTCCAAATACTATGGATGTACTTGAGAAGCCTGTCCTTTCTAACT